ATTTTCAAGAGGAATTTCCACTGACTATACAGGGCAGAGGAGGTTGAATCTAGAAATTGTATCATGGATAATTTATCCTCTGAAAAAAAAAGGGCAAAGGTGGTAGGAAGAAGTTAAGCCTTCAAACTGTTATTCGGTCAAAATCTACAAATCCCCAAAGAAGGTACAACAAAAGTACAGAGAGCTAGGGAGGCAGGAGTGGCTGGTTACAAAATGTGATGGACAGACCCCAGGAATAAGGAAGTGCAAATAAAGCAGCATGTGGAAGAACACTGACAGCCCACAGTAATCACACTTGTAGTTTTTACATTTAACACAGCTGTTTAAAACACACACACACACACAGCCTCTGATTCTTGACAACATAAATTCTCCTTGTTGCAGACAACTAGACAGCAGGGACAGGACAAGATCTTGTCATGGCGGTTGCTCAACACGTGATAAATGTAAATGTCTACTGGAGTCCAGAATTTGGCCAAGGGAGCAGGTACTTGCAGGCTCCTACAACTTTAGGCCTAAGAGTTTTCAAGAGGATGGTAAGGAGAAGCAGACGAAATTTCATCCGTCAGTTGGCCAACTCAGACTGGAAGGAACTTCCCTCGCTGACATGTAATAGGAAAACAATCATCACAACGTAAAAGGGACCAAAATTTCTACAGTACAAGGAAATATAACACAATCTAAAGATTCCAAGGAAGAGCATATATCTGGAAATGACTTAACCACAGGAAAAGAATGCTCTAGAAAATGTCTCTGTCCTTAAGAGAATGCAAAGAGATATGATGTCTATCCAACAGTTAAGAATGTAAGGAAACTAAAATTTTCACTGGAGAACTAAAAATGTCATGGGAAGCAAGAAAGCAAAATTGACTTTGCTGATAATCACATCAGTAATTTATAGGATGAATGTGACTGTGAGCTCTTTCAGGAAGGGACCATGATCTACACATTTATATTCCCAACGAGCAACATAACCCCAACCTGTGGGTCCTCATTAAGTGCTTATTGATGTATGAAAGCTCAAAGTTGGCTTGGTTTCGTTTACAGTTTTATTTTTTAGGTCGATATGCAAAAAACCCCATCTATGACCAAAGTATCACAGAGCATAGGCCTAGAGTCTAGGATGTGGGGCTAGAGTTAAAAGGTATAGGCTGAAAAAAATATAACTAAAAAAGAAAAAAAGCTAAAGAGGCAGAGGAATGAGGACGGCATCAAGTAAATAGTGTATTTAATTAAAATTTTATTTTCATGCCAGGATAATTAACATACAGTGCTACGCTAGTTTTAAGAGTAGAATATAGTGATTCAACAATTCTATACATTACTCAGTGCTCATCAAGATAAGTGTACTCTTGGGGCACCTGGCTCAGTCAGTAGGACATACGACTCTTAATCTTGGGGTCATGAGTTTGATCCCCATGCTGGGCATAGAGATTACTTAAAAAGAATAAATTAAAAAAAATAAGTGTACTCTTCACCCCACCCCACCCCCACCTCTCCTCTGGGAACCATCTGTTTGTTCTCTGTAGTGAAGAGTCTGTTTTTTGGTTTGTCACTTTTTCTTTTTGTTTCTTAAATTCCACATAGGAGTGAAATCATATGGTATTTGTCTTTCTCTGACTGACTTATTTTGCTTAGCATTATGCTCTTTAGATCTGTCCATGTTGCTCTCAATGGGAAGGTTTCGTTCTTTTTTATATCCCTACTTGAATAATACCACTTCTTTCTCCATTCATCTATCAGTGGATTCTTGGGTTGCTTCCATATCTTGGCTATTGTAAATAATGCTGCAATAAACATAGGGAGGCATATATCCTTTCAAATTAGTGGGGAGTTTTGGTTTTTTTTGAGAGGGAGAGTGTACTCACGATACGGGGAGGGGCAGAGGGAGAGAGAATCTTAAGCAGGGTCCGTGCCCAGTGTGGAACCCTATGCAGGGCTCTGTCTCACAACCATGAGATCATGACTTGAGCTGAAATCAAGAGAAAAGACGCCTAACTGAGCCACCCAGATGCCCCTCAAATTACTGTTTTTGTGTACTTTGGGTAAATACCCAGTATTGCAATTACTGGATCATATGGTAGCTTTATTTTACTTTTTGTTAATTGGCAAATTAAGAAAATAAAGTAGTGAGACTATCAGTTTGATTTAGCATTAAGAAAGGAAACCCTGCTTTTCTAAGGTCATTCTAGAAGTCAATAGAGTAGTTGAGAATATTTAAAACTGCCTTTTATCACAAGATCAGGTTCCTTTTTCTTACTCCCTAATTTCATTTGTTTCTCTTCCCAAACCACCCCCCCCCTTTTTTTCTTAAATGTTTTCATGCTTTGGACTTGCCAATGCCATCTACAGTATCACAAGTGCTAGCTGTTAGGAGATAAATCCTAAATCTCAGTGGCTTAAAAATTAGAAGTTATCCCTTAATAAAGTCTAAAATGGTCAGGGAAAGGCTTTCAGGGAAAGCCAGGGAAAGGCTTTTTCCAGGCTCCTTTCATTTCATGGTCCCTCTAAAGACTTGGAATCCTTTCCATTCATTTGGCAGATAGAGGTCTATTCAGGGACTGACCAGAGGTCCACAGAGGAAGTTTATGGGACAGGCCTACAAGTGGAGCCCTTCACATTGGTCATATGTCATTAGTTAGCGCTCACTCACATGGCCATGCCTAACTGCAAGGGAGACCTGAGCAATGGAATCTAGCTGTGGCCCTGACAGCAAAATGGGTTTGGTGAAGTCGGCCTCTGCAACAAACTCTAGATTATTCCAACCATAGATAATCGTGATCTAGAGCACAATGTGTAGCACTCTCCTTTCTTCCTCAAAGTTTGCAATAATCTGATGGAATTGGGTATTGTGTCCCATTTAGTAGCCTGAGGTTATATAAAAGCCTGATTGACAAACGAAGATTTGTACCCAGTCCCGACTCCGAAGTCCATTAAACCATGCTGCATTTTTCCAATTGAATCATAATATTAACGTGAGATTAGAACCTGAATGGAGATTAAATTTAAAAGATCATGTAACTGCTGCTTATCAGGAGAGTTGATCTTTCGAGGTTTTTCCAATTTGAATGATGCACTTTTGCAAATTCTCCTGAACTCTTTCTTATTTTAATGTATGGCATAGATGTGAAGACATCATTACAGTCCCTTGTACATGAACGGAGAAATATTCACTGTCTTATCCCTTAAGTCTCATTAGTCCTGACAAACTCACACAAATTTGCCTTTCCAGAGGGAACATCTTTATATCTCACTTTTTAAAGACATTTTAAATAGTTTCATTTTGCCTTCACAACCCTTTGAACAGTAGAGACATGTCTGCTTATAAATGAATAATAGTTCAATTACTTTTCGCAATGAATGGTGCTAAGCAGTATAAGATTATAATGACTTCTATGTATCTTATAACTACTTCTATAAGACACTTATATACTACATATATACAAAACTTCATTTAATCTTCACCACTTAACAAGTTAAGTGTGTTTATTACCAGTATTTTATTGATGTGGCAATCAAGGCACAGAGGGTTGAGCAAGTTGACTGAGGCAACAAAGTTGAACAGTGAAGGAAATAAAACAGGTCAGGCTACATGAAATTCTCCCAGTAATTCTCCCCAGCTCAAGTTCATGGGTCCTCTTCATTCTTCGTTTTGCCTTTATCCTTGCCATAGATATTCCTATTCCTTGATATACTTATCACTCGGGGCTTTTGGGACTTTCTCTATTCTTGCCTCCCTGCAACCTCATTACCCCTTTATTCCATGAACTCAAATTCCTTGATTCGAGTATGTAAAACCTAATACTAAAACAAAAACAAAAACAAAACCTAATACTTCCTATTGTTTCCTACACACATGCCTTGCTCTTTAAAACATGAAGCCAACGCCTAATTTAACGGTTTCCTAAGGTAAATCCACAATTTATTAATGCATAGAAATTCCTAAACCTCCTCTAAAACAAAAAGGCATATGTTCTACCTACACACATTGTTGAGATTAGAGAAACATCAATTTCCCTTTTAAGTAAGATTTAACAATATCTTCTGTCAACTTTCTGGTGCCATGCCTAGCACAAAAGCAAAGAGAACTTAAAAGGAAAGGGTTTTGAAATAGTTCCTTTGAGTCACTCTCACAAAGAATTTACTTGGGAGTCAAAGAACAGTGACTTTACCATCTCAGAAATATAACCCTGATCAATTTGTTCACCCATTCAGCCTAGCATGAATCTGTCCTGATGCGGAAACGGGGGGGGGGCCCCAATAAAAAACCCTGAAACTGGAAAACTCTCTTCCTGGTTTGTGCTTTACTGTCTAAAATGCCAGCGGGAACTTCAGGCAAAACGTAATTTGCAGACCAGTCTGTGTTAGAAACACTGTATCCAACATACAGAACAGACAAGGCGCCGCAAGAGCGAGGAAAGATTTTACGTGTCTGCTATTGACAAATTCAATCCTCTGGACAACTTGAGGCTGAACTCTTCAGAGGCTCCTTTGTCAGCTGTGCCTCAAGGCAGGCCTCCTAGTAGGTGCTCAATAAAGGTATGTTGGGAAGAAAAAAAGAGACAGCCCAAGAAAGACTCTGAACGATAGAGAACTGATGGTTACCAGAGGGGAGGGAGGGAGGGGAGGGAGATGGGGGAAATAGGGGATGGGGGTTAAAGAGTACATTTATGAGGAGGAAAAAAAAAAAAGGATAGGTTGGAAAAATCTGTTAAGGCCAAGATGGAGTGTGCAAAAGGTAGTAGGAAGATTTCTGAGTTCTCACTGCAACTATAAACTTAGAGGACTTTTGCAACTGGTTTTGCAGCTCATCCAAGCGCTCATCTTTTCTTAGCTCTAACACATTTAAAGGCAGTAAGAGGCAGAGGCATTTTACACCGTCGATGTATCTCTTTGAACTTCCTTAAGTTGACTGGGCGGAGGCTCTACCGTTTTAGGTCCGCCCGTTGGTGCGGCACCTGCAATTTCCGCTCCTCACTTTACCCTCTTCCTGGCTCCAGGTCCTCGCTCCTGGCCCTGCCTGCGGCCCCCTTCCACTGCCCGCTGGGTCAGCGGGGTCCCTGGGAACTACCACGTCCCGCAAACCTTGCTTCAGGAGAAAACAGGTAATGAATGATCTTTAGGTTTTAAATCACTGCAACATCAAGTCTTCAATTGGACGCATGATTTGGATGGAAAAATCTGATCTACGAGAAACGAGTCAGTACGGTCCAACCTCCGCTCTTTGCCTCTCTTCGTGTTACGGTTTCCAGGATCACCCGAACCCTCGGGCTGCCGTCTCCTCTCGGGAGTTGTAGGCTTTCTGAAAGCGGCGGCCTCTCCTTCCAGGCCTCACCTCCCGCCAGCTCCGCCCCGCCCGACCCACCTCACCCCCGCTTGGCGCCCCCATTGTCCCCTCGCAGCTGTCACAGCGCGCACATCCCGAGGCCCCGATTGGAAAACCTTCCCGTCACTCAGCCCACACTCCGGGGCCGGACGCCTCACTCCCTATTCCGAGCCTTAAAAGGGCTAAGGCCGCTTTCCGCGAGCCAGCAGGTAGAGCCCCGGCGGCGGAAGGGAGGAAGGGAGGGGCTGCGCGCTCAGGTTGGCCCCGCCTGGCGACGGGGTGCGGCGGG